TTGGTGGGGAAAACATCTGCGTAAGTTTGATTCTAAACTATTGCCCAGTCAGTTTTTGAACCAACTGAAGTAGATTAATGTTTCGTTACTTAAATATTCTTGTTGTTTTGTTCGCTGGTAACATATTTTTTAGAGAAACGTTTCCATGATATGTGAGGTGTTTCTTTAATTGAACTTCCTAACTATATTTTGGGATTTTTTTTTCAAGCTTGCTTTATATCAGCTTGATAATAGCACCCCCCCCCCCCCCACCCTCCCCCACCCTATCCATGCGTTGAAACGAGTAATTTACTTTATTTTGTTCAGGTATCATTACTTTCTCACAAACCAAAAAAAAAAAAAAACCTCTATCCACTTTCTTACAATTAGTTAGCTACAGGGTGTTTGTAAGGTCTCACTATACTTTGTATAAAGAAAAAAATTGAAAAAGAAGGACCTACCCTAGAATTGTAATATTAGGGTGGAGGGAGGGGGTAGGGGGAATCTTACTACTTCTGCTGCCTGAACCCAGTCATTGTCTCTGTAAGCAAGAGCACTAACTACTATTTCACCTTGGCCGCAAGAATTAACGTAAGTGGTCATGTTGACTCCCACTTTGTAGAAACCAAATGCTATATACATAATTTCCTTTAGACCTACAAACACGACCTTTTGTTTGTTGTCCGACATTTGACCTGTCGACCTCCATAAGGAATTTTCTGTCTTTTTAAGTACGACAACAAGCAGGGCTCGGTATCCATGTCCAGGTTGGTGAACAATGGGATGCAGCCTAGGAGAGCCAGACAGGCGCGATTCGTCAAAGACACAAGACGTCAGATTAATCAACACAGAACGGGGTGATTTGTCGTTTTACTCTCGTGGGGCTACTGGGGAGGAGTTTGGGGCACAAATGGATCTACCGTAGTGCTGTGACGATAGTCTTCACTAATCACTAACTCAATTAGTACCAAATAACGTCGCACGAGTGCTTGGATATTACTCGTGTGCGCCGAGCATCATATCATGTATGTTTTACATCATATAAATAGCCAGGGCAGGCTCAAGAACTCCAGCAACACATATGTTTCCTACAAGGATCGCGTATTTAGGTGTTGTGGGTATGGTACACTTATGATTTTTCTGTTTTCTGTATTACATCAGTCAGACATTAGCTACTGGGTTTTTCTTCTTCTTCTTCTTCTTCTTCTTCTTCTTCTTCTTCTTCTTCTTCTTCTTCTTCTTCTTCTTCTTCTTCTTCTTCTTCTTCTTTTTTCTTCTTCTTCTTCTTCTTCTTCTTCTTCTTCTTCTTCTTCTTCTTCTTCTTCTTCTTCTTCTTCTTCTTCTTCTTCTTCTTCTTCTTCTTCTTCTTCTTCTTCTTCTTCTTCTTCTTCTTCTTCTTCTTCTTCTTCTTCTTCTTCTTCTTCTTCTTCTTCTTCTTCTTCGCCAGCTGTAAACTTCAATGAAAGACCTGTTTATTTATCCACCTCTAGACTTTTGACTTATTTCAGAACTTGAGTGTTGTGTGTATTTTTTTTTTTTTTTTTACAAATCTGACTTATTTGTTTGCATACTGTTGGTTCCTTGCATCGCAGGCTTCTTTCTGCGACTGAAAGCATTAATGTATCGCAAAATCAGTGCACTGTTAAGCCTATTCCTTGATACTTATTTTTTGGAGCCCCTGTAAGAAGCTGGTTTAGGCCGTCAAAAAGGAAAGCTTTTTTTTTCTTCACAATGCTAACTATGTATTAACCATTTGATATTTCGTAGTTTTATTGTGACTATATTTTATGCGCTGTTTGTTGTGACTATATTTTATGCGCTGTAATTCATCAAGACGACAGGTCTGTTACAGGTGATTTGTTTTTTCTGTTACTGCCACTGTTACTACTGTCTGCGCTAACCACTTTTTAGGGAGGTTCGTTTTAGTATCCAGAAGCCATGAGTTGTTAACCCTTAGGCTCGATATTATGGATATCGCAACCTTTCGGCCTTGATTCCATTTTAAATACCGTAAATCTGTGAGAAATGTGGCTTTTCTGCCCACCCCCGGGAGTGAACCCGGACCATAAGGAGTTCGTCACCCGCTCACCGCGCAATCCGGTTTAGCCAACTACGCTAGAGAGACGGGCCATTAGGGAGGTATGGACAGGGTTACGTGAGTCAGAGCCTGTGGATTTAGGGACGCTGGCTAGTGCTGTCGCCACGGACTGTGCAGGTTAGGATGTTTAATTTTGCCGCCGACAAAAAAACTCTAACACCATACCGGGGTCAAACTCGGAACTATCGTATGAGAGTCCGACATTGTAACCGCTCAGCCACCCGCTTCTCTTTGTATATATATATGTGTGTTTGATATTTTTTAAGACATTGAAGTGCATTGTTAGAAATTATGCTTAATTCCTTTGCAAACAAAATTCAAAGGATAAAAATTATATGCGTGTATATTGTTTAAGTGTGTTTTTGCGCATTGTAAACTCTGTGAGTGTTGTGAATAGTTATTAAATTAAATTTTTACCTCAGTAGGCTTTTATTGCAAACTAGCTGTACCCGGCCACGCTCTCAGCTAACAGTGTCTGTCATATCCTCCCCCCCCCCCCCCTTTGCCTCTCCCCTCAACCCAGTCATATCTCCCTGTCCGAAGGATTGAAAAATCATCCATGGCGAAATTATTAAAATAGAAATAGTTAGGAAATGAGAACTTTAAAAAAAAAATGTTTTAAGCTCTCTCAGCTAACTGTGTCTGGCATACCCCCCCCCCCCCCCCCCAATCATATCTCCCTCTCCAAAAGATTGAAAAATCATCACCTGGCGAAATTAATAAATTAGAAATAGTTAAGAAATGAGAACTTTAAAATAATTTTGTAAGCTCACTCAGTTGACAGTGTCTGGTATCAACCCCCCCCCCCTTACCCCCCCCCCTTACCTTCCCTCCTTTCCACCCCCTACTAATCATATCATTCTCTCCGAAGGATGGCAAAGTCATCATCTGACGAAATATTGTAACTAAATTGAGCTTGGCATTCGTGTCCACCTAGGCTAAAATGGGTAGCATTAATTTGTACTGAGAAGTAAATTGGGCCAGTGTAACAGCTACCATATCATCCATCCAGTACCAGTACTACTGCTACCACTACCACCACCACCATCACAACAAAAACTTTCACTACAGTCTGTGTAGGTCGGTATAGCCAGAGGAGTAAGCGCCGTATGCTGTCGCCACTGACTATTTAATTTAATTTTGCCTCCGACATAGAAAAAAAACGTCATCGCTTAACCAGTGATGGAACCCACAGTAAAAAGTACACTATACTCACGAATAGCGGAGAAAAATACCCCGCACCCGTTGTCTCTCCCTCTCCGAAGGGACGATTTTTAACTGACCTTGGCATCCGTGTCCACCCAAACTAAACTGGACTGTAAGCCGTCTTAGTTAACAGTTTCTGTCATCGTTTCTGTTGATCGAGAAGCGTTGCGGGGAGGCCAATTTGGACTTAACTGAAGTCGAATGTCTTTGGGCGAAAGGCTCAGATATCGCAGCCTAGCTGTAAACCACAACACAACGTAGCAACCACCCTTTTAAGAGAAAAAGAACAATTATCACCCAGCGGGGAATCGAACACCGGTCAACCGCGTGAAGGGTGGATACTTACAACTATACTACTGAAGACTGAAGAGTTTAGGTCAGATATCGCAGCCTAGCTAGTGGTTTTTTCTATACGAACAGTAGGGTCTATTCCATGGATCTCTTCCTGCCCTGGCGCTGTGAAACATTCCATGAGTAGAGAAAAGAAGAAAAATATGACACCACCTACTTTACTAATCTGGGCGTTTTCAGATTCAAGCTTATCAGATGTCTTTTCATCAATGGATTCTATATTATCACCAATTTCTTTGTTTCCTCTTACAGTTATTGCCATGACAGCATACCCACCACTGGCGTAATCAAACATAGTTTTTCATTTTCTATTTGTTATTTCCCTTCATTTTCAGTTTGTTATTTGTCTTAATTTACTTACACTTCATCTTACGACACATTTGCAGTCGATCTGACTTTAGAGTCCAACGAACTTGTAGCGGGTGTAGGAGTCTCTATGTAACCTGTCAAACTACTTGAGCCAGACATTTCAAAGACAGGCATGAACAACTCGATTGAATTTTTACTTTATTCTGCCTCCAGCTTTTGTTGTTATTCGCCCCCCCCCCGTCTCTCTCTCTCTCTCTCTCTCTCTCTCTCTCTCTCTCTCTCTCTCTCTCTCTCTCTCTCTCTCTTCTCTCTTTCCCCCCCCCCCCCCCCCCCCCGTTTCTGAGCTTCACTTTTCTTCTTTATGTGAAATTTTTTTAGTGATCTTCTATCTTTAAATGAAAAAAATAACTAAACTAGTGTTGTACAAACTGATAGTATATTTCGAACAATAACAACGTATACGTGTGTGTGTGTGTGTGTGTGTGTGTGTGTGTGTGTGTGTGTGTGTGTGTGTGTGTGTGTGTGTGTGTTTTTAGAAACATGTACTAGGTACTGTAACAGATAATATGACTTTGTCTGGCAGACTTCGGAACGCAACATTTTTTATTTATTAGTGTAAATGGTCCAGATCAAGGCTGAGTGTTTATATTTTTGTGCGGTGGCTCCTTTCTAACCTTCTTTAACCAAATTAAACTCACTGTGGGACCCTGTTAACCGTTTTTTTTTAATTGAATTTTTTTATTGTGGCGCCGTCTGTGAGAGGCGTCCAGGACATATGTCCTGCCTGCCATACTTTAGGTACGCCACTGGTCTAGTATCGTATGCCGGTTACGCCTCAGACGTAAAAAAGGCGGGTTTTTTTATGGTTTAAATTATTATTTACTTTTATTTTCTTTAGCATGTCTATTCCCCAGGTCTCTAATGATTTTATTAGTTAACACACAAAAAATGTGTTCAACTAAAAAATATATGTACACAAATTGTCTCCATAATTTATTATGATTTATTTATACTGCAGATAATAATCTTAACGCCAAACACGTGACATCAAGAAAGTATGGAAGGTCTAAGGAAGATCCTTCCTAAAAGTGGATCGACCATTGACAAGAAAAGTGAAACAAGTCAAGAGAGCATTCCCATACCCATGTCTGCCAGAAGTAAACTCAGCCGTCTCAGACAGAAGATACGTATGATGTCAAACATGAGAGGGTCAAAGGTTCTGGACAGACAGCAGACAAATGTTGCCTATGAAAACACATACAAACTGGAGCCAGATACAGCCAACAGATTTTCTACAAATAAAGCAGAGCAGGTAGTGTATATAGATAGTCTTTACTATTGGCTGCGACGGTTATTTGAACAATCTTGTGTAAATAAAGGTAACGGTAAAGTCGGGAGATGTGTACCAGCGTCATTGCACACGGTTATAAACCATAAGTGCTCTGCATCCAGTACGGACAACGATGATTTGTCACCTGCGGCATCAAATAGAGGACTGCGAATAACTTACGAAAAAGCAAATTCATTAAAGATACCAACAACAGATCATGTAGATGTCATGCTAGAGATAAACCAATAAAAGTAACGGACCAGTTTGCCTAATTGGTTAGCAATTTAGACTTTCAAGGAGATGCCACGAAGACAATTACGATATGTATTGGCAAAGCAATTACAATCTTTAAAAGCCTTAACAAAACATGAAGCTCCAACTTATACAGCTTTAAGACCACACTACGAATCTTCAATTCTAACGATATTTCAACTCTAACAAACGCCAGCGAAAGTTGAAGAACTACAATGGATATGGAACCGACGTTAAGTGCATTTGAAAATAATTGTCTGAGCAAATAATCATGAACATAAAATTTGATTAATTCGAAAAAAAAAAAAAAACAAACAAACAAGGAAGAGATCAGAGAAATGTCTGGAAAATGCCTGTATCGACTGCAATAAGACAAAGAAGGTGGGAATATATTGGGCCCGCCCTGAGATGAAATAAGCAAATAATTACAAAACAGGCACTGAATGGGAAACAAACGGTCTGAGAGAGAGGGGGAGGAGAGAGGGGGGGGGGGGGGAGTCCAAGGGAAAAAATTAAGAACATTTTTACGAGAGGCAAAACATGATGGACTAAACTCCATTTCAGAAATCGAGAAAGTTGCATGCAATAGAGCGGAGTGGAAGAGTAGAATGCGAGCCCTATGTTACCTCTAATGGCAGACAAAGGATGATGATGATGATGACGATGATGATGGTGATGGTGATGATATAAGCGTATATGAGTGTATAAAATCACACATACACACACACTAATAAACACACATATATATATACATATACAATTATCATCAGTCAGATACCATCTCCACATTGAAGGCGGTCTGCAATGGATCTCCAGCAAGCCTTATTTCTTGTCTTAGTTGTACACTCTCTCAGACTGCTATTCGTTTATCTTTTCATGTTGTCGACCCACTTGTATCGTTGTCTACCTCTTGTTCTCTTGCTCTCGACATTTCGCTTCCTCCAGTGTGGTTTTTAAAAGCTTATAATGCTTTTTAATGCCTCCAGAATATCTCAATTGTCTCTTTTTATTAAGTCTTTTTTTTCGTAGTTTTTCCATGACCACTGTGTTTGATTGTTTATATATATATATATAAACGTTCAACTTCAACGGTTGCGCCAAGTACTATCCTTGCTCACCCTGCTGTCCAGATAGATAAGGGCGAATCACAGGAGTACAAACATAAAAAACCTAACATTTTTGGTATCTTTTAATGTTTAATCGATTTTATTTTTTATAGTTAACATTAACATCATCATCACGTAGCAGATGGTTAAAGGACACTGCTACCATCACAGCCTGTCAGAAAGAAACTCGATCCTTCGTCAGCTTTCCGGCTACCTACATTTGTTTTTTGAAGAAAACACTCTAATTAGTCACCGTTTATTGTGTTTTTTATGCCCATCTTGGTTATGGTCTGCCCCTGCCCCTCTTACCTGGTACCATGCCGTCCGCTACTGTTCTTTTTATTATTCCCCGCGGCGTTTGATATGGATAGAATATTTCAGTCTGTTTACCAGCCGATTGTCCTTGATGTTCAGATCTTTAAGGATGACCATATTTCTTTTCTACTTGATCTATGGTATACTAAAACATAGTTAACATATTAACTGGATATTTGTATTATAATTTCTGCTCCGGAAAGGTTATTCACGAAGTGTTTGAACATTATCTACGAGGGAAATCATATGAACCTAAAGTCTTACCAAGATTGATCAAGACGTTGTCGGAGCTGATCAGAGACAGAGTAAAAGCTCAAGGTATAGAAAGGTAATATTCGCATTCTCGTAAGCTTTCAATTGTCTGTGAGAATTTTAATGTTATCGTGATGTACGCCATACTAATTTTAAAAATCGACATCACAGCATACCGGACATGATTAGAAAGGATTATCATCACAGCACTCTAGAGAGATCCATAAGTGCTCCGATATCCTCATCAAAAGCTCCACAAATGTAAAACGACTGATGACGCCTGTTCTGTCTTGGTTAATGAAATGTTCACTTCTTGCAGCTCCAGGCTGCACCCCCATGTTCATCGGTCTAGACAGGGATACGGAGTCCTGTCCTTCAAAGAGGTAATGATAATAAAACCTGCAGTCCTGTGCTACAAAGTACGAACATTTTAGGGAACAAATAGTCAATAGTGCTGGGCGCAGCAGACGCCGGTTTTAAACAAAACAGAGGAGAGTTATACTCAAGTTCGTTCCAAACTGAGACGCAATCCTGTTGCTGGGGACCCTAGTACAATATAACATATGGGCTGAACGGATTTTCTGGGACCTGTTCCCGGGTGCTCCTCATCCGAATAGTGCACTTTGTGTCACCGGGTGTTTATTGCTCGGTGTCATGTCCTGATGGGGTTGAACGTCATCGTCGTAAACAGAGGAGAGTACGATAGCTTAAAGAAAATACAGCTGAAATTTATGGAACATGATGAAATAAATACTATATATGTCAACCTTATGCCACTAGGCAGCCAATAATAATATATTTTAATCCAAAAGTACAGATTTAAAAAAAAAAAAAAAAAAAGATGTTTGGAAAATCATCAATGCCTGCTCCAGGTAAGACACACAAAGAAGATGAATCAAAGTCATATATTGTGTTTTCCCCAGATTATTTGTCGTTGTTTTCATCTCTTTGCACCTACCTCCACTTTCCTCTTTTTTTCCGGGCCTGATATTTTCACAAACCTGCTGCTTCAAAAGTCACATCATGGACTGGAATTTAACAGGGCGAATTCCAGAAACTGTTGCTCTACTGGCAAATCAGGACGAAGAATAAAAAGCCTTGAACGACTTAGTCAGAGTTCTCTCCCTTGGCCGCACTCCAAACAGTGATCGGAAAAGCCACAACGAAACAAACGACACACTTACCTATCATCCTACGGTTGCGTGTAGGGCTGCGTACGGTTGCGTGAGGCATCGTAAAGGGATGCGTGGTCATCATATGGTTGCGTGCAGGGTTGCGTACGGTTGCGTGAGGCATCGTGAATGGTTGTGTAGTCATCATGCGGTTGTTGGGTTAGAGTTAGGGGTAGGGTTAGGGGTAGGGTTAGGGTTAGGGTTAGGGGTAGGGTTAGGGGTAGGGTTAGGGGTAGGGTTAGGGTTAGATGTGAAAATTTTGACGTAGGATTTCGAAATACTGGCCGACAATCAGATGTTTGTGGGAGTAGCGCCACTGAAACTCTGCTAAATATGACGCCAATAGCGTGCGGCTGGTGCCCCCAATCGTTGGCGAATTGTGCGTTTGACCAGCATCCAGAGGCCCTCGATTGTTTGTGTGTGTGTGTATGGGACTGTGCGCGATTATAGGGAAATCCGGCGTCAAAATTGTCAAATCTAACGCTAAACCTAACCCTACCGCTAACCCTAATCATAATCCTACTCCCTAACCCTAACCCCTACCCCTACCACGCAAATTTATCGATCATTAAAGCATACAAATCGGCAAAAACCAACAAACAAAACACACCCAAAAAAAAAAAAACCTAGATTTGTCCTGCAGCGTCGGGAAAAAAACCCAGATCTGGGGGAAACAACCAAGCATTGGCAGCCCTGATGTCGACGTGACTGTCTTCTTTGTTTCGTTGGCTTTTCCGATCACTGTTGGGAGTGCTGCCAAGGGAGAGAACTCTGAGTAAGTCGTCCAAGGCTTTTTATTCTTCGTCCGGTTTTGCCGGTAGAGCCGGAAGTTATCTTATCCTCAAAGGGAAGAGTCGGATATTGTTCTTGCTGTGTGGGTTCCGGGACTCCATATGGAGAAGGTGGTAACAGACTCACTGCCCCTAGCACAGTAAACGGTGACTTATTAGAGTGTTTTCTTCAAAGGCAGAGTGCATCTGCCTGATAAGCGAGGAGCCAGTAATCTGTATATAAATGAGCCAGAACTATATAAAACGGATGTACACACAAAGCCCAATTTCTGAAAGAAGACTAAGGTACAGAAGAGGAAGAACAACCAATTCCGATTGCTGATTCCTTTTGAGAAATAAATTAAAAGGTCGACTACTTTCACACTGCTGCCAGCTAGCCGAGGCTGCTAACAGTCTTCGCCTATATTTGTGGTCTGGGTTATTTGCGTCACTTTCGTGACTAAATTTTTTATTTGCGCCTTTTTTGGGCTTAATGCTTCCTTCCGAGTCGGACCGCTCGTCCTGCACCCTGTTGTTAGCTGTGCATGTCTTTCCTTTTCTTACTTGGTGTTTCCTCTTGGTTTTGTCTCCCTTTGATTTGGCCAGGCGTATTTCGTAGGAGAGCGAGCTTTTCTACACAACTTCCTTTGGATCACCATTTACAGTTTTAAAATTCTGAGTATTTTATTTTGCCAAAAAGTACTGAAAACAGTTTTTGATTTTGGATAGTTCCGAAATGTGAAAATATTCCGCGTGTGACCATAGTGGTCTTATAGTTGTCTTCCTGCAATAAGAACGGGTTAGTCTTGTCGTGTATATGTGTGTGAAATGTTACGTTGAGCCTCAAAGCGGATCTATTCGTCATTTGTTAGTGTGTGATCCGGTTGTGTCGGTTTGGTTTGGCATCAAGGTTCCTGTGTACGTAAATACCATATACATGGAGCATCCAGCTGACGCTTTGAGATCCAAATGTTCGGCGATAAGAATTGCTGTAGCATGTTGGGTATCGAACTCACATGCTCTCTGTGGAAATAAGGTGGGGGATTGAACTCATAGTGAATCCGAAAGAGGTAGGGAAGGGTGAGGGGAAAGGGGGCGGAAGGTCATTCAGTCATTTCTCGTCTTTGCCATCTTGCTGGATTCTATTGTGGCCTTTTAGCCGGGATTATACGTATCACGTCACCAACCTTTGCTCTCAGCCCACTGATGGGGTGGTATTGGTGGTTAGGTGTTCTAGTCTTGTCAGTATCGATTCACTTGTTTTCCATAGTTGCTGTATGTAGAATAACCAAAACTTTCCGCAGAAGTTAACAGTAGGTGAACACTAAGGAAAAAAAAGATGATTGGTTCTTTGCTTTCCAGGCAGATGCACTCTCACACTGAGGTAATGTGGTGGATAATATTGACATAGATAATAGTGACATTGATAATGCTACATAAGTGTCATTCAACCCTTTTCAGGTCGCGGTCCTCTTGAGTATATGGTAAGACGCCCCCCCCCCCCCCCCCCCCCCCCACGCCACCCCCTCTTCCCAACAGAACCAAATGTGATTAAACAGAGTACAACAACAGACTCTGCAACAAGGAAAACGGACAGAGTACGAAGATATGTTTTGGTCAGAATTTGTTCTTAATCTATAACTGCGTGCCTGTGTTATCGTAATAATTAGATTTGAAACTGAAAATATAAAAACTTTTTTTATGGAAACAAACACAAAATGCCCTTCACTTTCTGTATTATAAAAAGTTTTACAAATATTTTGTTATTATATTTATTTGAAAACTAAAGAAGAAAAAACGGATGATAGCAAATACAAATGCACTCAGTTTTAAAAATATCTTGACATCCCCCCCCCCCCTTTTTTTTCCCCCCCCCCCCCACCTCGGCTTTAAAACTCCTTCTCAGTCTCCCTACCCCGTCCCCAGGTTGGATACCAGTGTGCTACATGTACTAACTGTAAAGAGGAATAAGATAAGGACTACTATGTTATATATAGATTTTTTTGTTTTTTCCACAGACACAAAATCATAGTAACTGTAACAGTCATCGAAAACAAGAAGCAAGGTGTACAAGTCTCCAGTCGTGCTCTCTGGAACGACAAGTTCGACAACTATGCTTCCATAGTTTATGATGGACCAAACTTCTACGCAGTTGGTTCTGTGTATGCGGTCTACTATGACTGAACAGTGTCTCTTGTATGCTAGTGTCGTGTCTTCGGTTAAGTGCTAAATTTTGTCTCGACATAGTTGTAGATAGGCTCAGACTTTCCAGAAAGATGAATAACCACCTACTATCGTGGAGGGATAATACACAATTAAACAGCTAACGGTAGACACCAATCCGGATTGGGTTGCAGGTAGCTTCGCTCAAGTGTCTTTTCTAATTCTTCTTCACTTCTTCGTTTACCGCTTCAGGTGTTCAGGTAAAAACAAGCTTCTGCTTCTTCTAGCGTTTCTAGCCGCGTCGACCATAGACACATCGCGGGTTTCTCGGATACTATCTTTCCATTTTGTTTATGGTCTACCTCATGTTCTACCTCCTACTTCTATAATCGTGTATGCCTTGTATGGTATTGCGTCATAAGACATTCTCTCTAAGTGGGCAAACTTTTGAATTGTTGTTTTTGTATGAAATTTAGAACTGGGTCTGTGTCGACTTGTTCTATTACGATCTAATTCCTGATTTCATTTCTCATCGTCACTCCTACAGCCCTTCTCGGCCATCTCATTGTGTTACAGTATTTTTGTGTTATAAAACTGAACTGGGTTTCGATTGATTGATTGACTTTCTACCCCACCAGGACATCACACAAGCGATAAACACCCGATGACACAAAGTGCCACCATGCGGATGAGGATCACCGTGGAGAGGTCCAAGAAACCGCGTTCAGACAATTGGCCATATTGATGGCCTGCCTATATTGCGGCCCCTGGCAAAAGCCAGAGTGGGGCTTCAAATAACAAAAAATTACGTCTTAAGAAGGACGTAAGGAATAAAACTGGGTTTCTCGGATTTGCTCCTTTTGGATTAAACCTTACTGGCGACTTTCTGCGTCACTTGTTGTTAATCTTTCAGGATGCAAACGCTGAAAACTGGGCGGGGTAAAAGAAAACAGACAATGTTTCACACTCTTCCAGTCCAGGACTCTAGGTTGTGCCAGATTGGCGTTTTATTTGTAATTTCTTTCGAGCATAAATGGAGATTTGGCCTGTTGGTCTGAAATCTAGGATGAGATTCTTGATATCTCAGGGGTGATCAAACTTCCAGGTATGAGCCGGAAAAAAATTATATGGCGGGGGGGGGGGGGGCGTTAAGACCTTTGACAGAATAAAAGTATACCTTTCGCGCCCAAATAATAGAGTATATTAGCGTGTTTTCCTCCAGTTGTAGAATAGTTGTCTCTATGTTGTATTTGTTAGACTTGTGTAGCTTGTGTTCTACAACTGAAGACGCTTGCTTGTTTCGTGGTAGTAGTAAACAAAAATGATTACTGGGAATGGCAAAAGAAACAGAGAGATAAATTTATCACCTGCTCGTGTTATAATTTGTATTTATTTATTTATTTTTTTTTTGTCGTAAAATATTAACATTTGTGAAGCAAGTCACACACGCACAAAAAATAATTTTCTAATACAAATTTGAAAATAATAAAAAGACTGAGTGTCGGGTTAACAGTGTGGTGCACCTCCAATCCGAAGACAAGAGGTACAGATCATCAGCTTTCGGCTCTGTTGATAAAGTTTCGATTTACCCACACTGCCACGGCTCAGCCCGTCAGGACATCGTAATTTTAGGTTCTTATAACTGAGGCATGTAGACTACAGTCTGATAATATTAAATCTATTTTTGAAAAACTACTGGGTTACTAATAATAAAACTGGAAGTCAGGGGACATAATAACATTATTCATCCTAAAATGTTAGCAATATTTGTGTCCCTTAATCTTTGTGTTAGTTACACAGTAAATTGACGCTACTGAACTTGAGGTAGAAGTTGTGGTCTAGTGGATAGACGCTCGCCTGTTGGCTCGAATGTTTAAGGTTAGAATATGCATCCACAATTCAACAACCACTTACAATCCTAGAGAGATAACACAAAATTAACCAGTTGGATTGCAGGTAACTTCGCTCAAATGTCTTTTTTTATTCTTCTTTACTTCCTCGTTTACTGCTTCGGGTGTCGAGGGAGATGTAAAGTTATGGTTCCTCTTGCTTTTCTGGTCGCCTCGACCATAGACACATCTTAAGGTTTCTCTAAAACTATCTGCCCATTTGTTCTTGGTCTACCTCATGTTCTACCTCCTACTTTTCTATTTCTGTAAGCCTTATATGGTATGGCGTCATAACGCATTCTCTCTAAATAAGCACATCTTTGATTTGCTGTCTTTGTCTGTAATTTAGAATTGGTTCTGTGTCGATTTGTTCTCTTATGACCTAAGTCCTGACAGCATCTCTAGACGTCACTCCTAAAGCCCTTCTCATATATCTCATTGTGATACAGTATATCTGTGTTAGAAGAATGATTGGGTTTCTCGGATTTGCTCTTCTTGAATTAAACTTCACTAGTAACTTTCTGCGTCACTTGTTGCTAAACTTACAGGATGCAAATCCGAAAACAGGGCGGAGCTAAAAGAAAACAGAAAATGTATGACACTCTTCCAACCAAGGACTGTGAGTTGTGCCTGATAGGCGTAGCCTTTACGTGCGCTCTATTTGTTATTTCTTTCGAAGATAAAATGAGATTTGGCCTGCTGTTTTGAAATCCAGGATGAGATTCTTGATATCTCAGGGGTGTTCAAACTTCCAGGTATGAGCCCAAAAGAAAAGTTAAGGGGGACGCGAGGGAGAAGGGGGGGGGGGGGCACAGACGTATCAGAACAAAAGAATTCCTTACTCGCCCCGATAATAGAGTATATTAGCGTGTTTTCATCCAGTTGTAGAATAGTTCTCTCTGAGTTGTATTTGTTAGAATCTTGCATTGTGTGTCCTACAACTGAAGACGCTTGCTCGTGTCGTGGTAGTAATATTCAAAAAATGTTTACTGCGAATGGCGAAAGAAACAGAGCTAAATTTACCACCTTCTCGTGTTATAATGTGTATTTATTTTGTTAAGTCTTCAAATATTATTATTTGTGAAGCTATTAACGCAAAAAAAAAAAAAAAATTATTGTAGTAAAATTTTAATTCATAGTAAAAGTAAAAAGTAAAGTAAAGATCCCTTTTCACGCCTTTCGGCGCATCGGGCATATGGGCAGAGCGTCCCATATTTTTACAGACCATCAGCACTCTGTGGGTAATGTGGTCAGCATTACGCCGGCTGTCTTTACTTTCCCAGGACAGCCCATCCTGGTACCCATTTTAGGCTGGGTCGACCTGCGACGTCCCATACCCCGATAAAAATCCACGCAGCCAGCAATGGGTTTCGATCGCGGTATGCTGGCTTACGAGTCGGACTCGCAACGCCTTAGCCACGGACGCCAAAATTTTAATTCATAATAATAAAAAAGACTGAGTGTCAGGTTAACAGTGTAGTGCACCTCCAATCCAAAGACAAGAGGTACAGATCATCAGCTTTCGGCTCTGTTGATAAAGTTTCGATTTACCCACACTGCCACGGTTCAGCCAGTCAGGACATCGTGTCGTTAACTTCTTATAGCTTAAGTATGTCTGACAACAGTCTATGTCTATTGTCTGACAACATTAAATCTAATTTTTGAAAAACTACTGGGTTACTAATAATAAAACCGAAAGTCAAGGGATAAGATAACATTATTTATCATAACATTTTGGCAATAGTTGTGCCCCTTAAAATATAATGGGTCAGGTACGTTACCCAGTTTTGTCCTTTTTAGGACGAAATTTTTTGTCATTTGAAGCCCCGCCCTGGCTTCTGTCAGGGGCCTCAATATAGGCAGGCCATAAATATGGCCAATTGTCTGAACGCGGTTTCTGGGACCTCTCTACGGCGATCCTCATCCGCATGGTGGCACTTTGTGTCATCGGGTGTTTATCGCTTGTGTAATGTCCTAGTGGGGTAGAAAGTCAGTCAGTCTGTGCCCCTTAATCTATGTGTCTGTTACACAGTAAATTGACTCTACTAAACTTAAGGTAGAAGTGTTGTGGCGTTGTGGATAGAAGCTCTATAACCAGCCTGAATGTCTTAAGCTCGAATCCGCATAAGCAATTGAACAACCACCTACTATCCTAGAAGGATAACACAAAATTAACCAGCTGATGGCAGACGCCTGTCCAAATTTGATTGCAGGTAAATTCGCTCACGTGCCTTTCCTTATTCTTCTTTATTTATTCGTTTGTCGCTTCGGGTGTCAAGGAAGATATAAAGTTATGGTTCCTCTTACAGCACAGAAATACAGAGGACCAGTTGACATATCTGACACAGGAAATTGAGAATGCCTTCCAGGAAAAAAAAAAAAGTTCTTTCTGTCTTCTTTGACCTCTCTCGTGCTTTTGATACAGTTTGGAAAGAAGGCCTACAACTAAAACTGCTACAGGCAGGAGTTGTGCACAACATGTACAAGTGGATTAAAGACTTTCTTTTCCAACGCAGAGCCAGATTCAGAATTGATGAACGCATCGGCAAATTGGCAAAACTAAGAGAAGTAGTTCCTCGGGGCAGTGCGATAGCACCAACTCTGTTCCTTGTTTACATAAATGATATCACAGCAACCTGCCACCAGCACGTTTCTAATACCCTACAAGCCGATGACTTTGCAGTTTGGACAGCCTCCGAATACACTACCACAGCCTCATATCTGTTACAGAAAACTGTGGAAAATGTGGAAGCCTGGACCGAAAAGTGGGGTCTAAAGCTAAATAATTCAAAAAGCACAGCATCACTTTTCTCTCTCTCCCCCAAAAAAGAAAAGTTCGAAAATTGGATTAAAAACCAGCTCATTCCACAGACTGACACTCCTACCTTTCTGGGCGTTACACTTGATTCGCGACTAAGTTGAAAGTCACATGTAGAAGCAGTACAGGGAAAAGCATTCAAGAAGCTTGCAGTGATGAATAAATTAGAGGGTACCACATGGGGAGCTAACTCCAGAATCCTAAAACACGTATATACTGGAGCAGTCAGGCCAGTCATGGAATATGCCTCCACTGCATGGGCTGCAGCAGCCAAGACAACAAAGGAAAACTGGACAAGGTTCGGAATATGGGAT